AATGAATTTTAAAGGATAATTATTCAACACCAACGCTTCTTCTATCTGTTTTATCTCGTCGTTTAGGTCTTTTTTTGTGCTACTTAGTGCTATGGCTCGGTTTGTTAGACACTTAACTAAGCCTGCCTTAACAGTTAACGGATGCGACGAATTAAAATCTAAGTATCTATTACAATGCGTTGGTTTTCTATACACACTAGTGTGAAGTTTACCTTCTTCTATTCGTTTTATTTTACAATCTAGCATAGCCAACTCTCCTTGTTCATCTTCCGATTCAAATGTGAATTTTATCCCCTCTACTAGTGAGTTAATATGTGTCAAGAAGCTAGAGATATGTTCTGTTTTTAACACTGTGAAAGTGTCATCCACATATCTCCACCATATTTTTGGAGTAGGATTAAACGTATTAAGTGCCATATTTTCCCAGCTATCCATAAATATATCTGCTACGATAGGGGATATTGGTGATCCCATTGCTACACCTTCAGTTTGTCTATATATTTTGCCTTGGAATCTAAAGATAGTAGATGTGAGGCATAGCTGAACCCCTAAAATAATTTCTTCAATGGACAGCTTTGTCCTATGATTGAGTTCAGTATCCGCAGTTAGTTCTTTTTTAACTGCTTCTAAGGCCATATTGACTGGTATATTAGTATAAAGACTGGTTATATCAAAACTAACCATTGTTTCATCATTATCTAGTTGTATGTCATTTAGTTTATTTTTCATTTCATATGAATTAGTTAGTCTAGAATTTGAACGATTTCTAATGGGACATAATATTAGAGCTAAATGTTTTGATAATTCATATGTAGGGGTATTTCTAAAATCTACTATTGGTCTTATGGGATAACCTGGCTTATGTATTTTAATAGTACCATACATCCTACTAGCATTATTAGTTTTAGGCATTAAATTAAACCATTTTGACTCACCCAGTGACGGCTTCATTCTGCGTACTAATTCCGCTGTGGATTTTTTAACCTTATTCATTATTGTGTCTACGGGCTTCTTAATTTCCTCATATGGACCCATTTCAATATGTTCATTGACTTTCTTGATGTAGTCAGATTTATCCAAAACTACGGTGGCGTTTCCTTTGTCAGCTTTTGCGATGACAATATTTTTATCCTGTTTTAGATTAATTAAAGCTTCTCTTTCCGACTTTGTCAAGTTTGATTTTGCCTTCTTTTGATTTTTTAGGGTTAATGCACATTGTGCTCGAACCTCTTCTGCTGTTGTTTTATCTATTGAACCTAGTAGAAGTAGCACTAGGTTCAATAGATAAAACAACAGCAGAAGAGGTTCGAGCACAATGTGCATTAACCCTAAAAAATCAAAAGAAGGCAAAATCAAACTTGACAAAGTCGGAAAGAGAAGCTTTAATTAATCTAAAACAGGATAAAAATATTGTCATCGCAAAAGCTGACAAAGGAAACGCCACCGTAGTTTTGGATAAATCTGACTACATCAAGAAAGTCAATGAACATATTGAAATGGGTCCATATGAGGAAATTAAGAAGCCCGTAGACACAATAATGAATAAGGTTAAAAAATCCACAGCGGAATTAGTACGCAGAATGAAGCCGTCACTGGGTGAGTCAAAATGGTTTAATTTAATGCCTAAAACTAATAATGCTAGTAGGATGTATGGTACTATTAAAATACATAAGCCAGGTTATCCCATAAGACCAATAGTAGATTTTAGAAATACCCCTACATATGAATTATCAAAACATTTAGCTCTAATATTATGTCCCATTAGAAATCGTTCAAATTCTAGACTAACTAATTCATATGAAATGAAAAATAAACTAAATGACATACAACTAGATAATGATGAAACAATGGTTAGTTTTGATATAACCAGTCTTTATACTAATATACCAGTCAATATGGCCTTAGAAGCAGTTAAAAAAGAACTAACTGCGGATACTGAACTCAATCATAGGACAAAGCTGTCCATTGAAGAAATTATTTTAGGGGTTCAGCTATGCCTCACATCTACTATCTTTAGATTCCAAGGCAAAATATATAGACAAACTGAAGGTGTAGCAATGGGATCACCAATATCCCCTATCGTAGCAGATATATTTATGGATAGCTGGGAAAATATGGCACTTAATACGTTTAATCCTACTCCAAAAATATGGTGGAGATATGTGGATGACACTTTCACAGTGTTAAAAACAGAACATATCTCTAGCTTCTTGACACATATTAACTCACTAGTAGAGGGGATAAAATTCACATTTGAATCGGAAGATGAACAAGGAGAGTTGGCTATGCTAGATTGTAAAATAAAACGAATAGAAGAAGGTAAACTTCACACTAGTGTGTATAGAAAACCAACGCATTGTAATAGATACTTAGATTTTAATTCGTCGCATCCGTTAACTGTTAAGGCAGGCTTAGTTAAGTGTCTAACAAACCGAGCCATAGCACTAAGTAGCACAAAAAAAGACCTAAACGACGAGATAAAACAGATAGAAGAAGCGTTGGTGTTGAATAATTATCCTTTAAAATTCATTAGGAAGATAACTAAAGGCCAGAAACAAAATAAAAATAATTGTGGAACTAGTAATGATAACATAAATAAGAGAGAATATAAGTCATCGACAGTTATACCATATAAAGAGGGGACATCTGAGACCCTACGTAGGATTCTAAATAAAGCAGGAATTAGGGTGGCATTTAAACCTACAAACTCACTCAGGGACAAGCTCTGTAGGTTAAAGGACCCAGTGGACCCAATTAGACAAAATAATATAATTTACAAAATACCCTGCAATGACTGTGAGGTCAACTACATAGGTCAAACTAGTAGGTCAGGAATAGTCAGATTGTCAGAACATAAGAATTTAGCTAAGATAAGAATGGTTGACCCAGAAAAGATAAGTAATTTAGAAAAAAGCTCGGCAATTGCAATGCATGCATTAACACACAACCACACAATAGGGTGGGAGAGGGTTAAAATTCTAAAAAGTAATCTAGGTAGGTGGAGAGAGAGGTTGATTACTGAATCTTTGTTCATCGAGTCTACACCCAACACGTGCAATAGGAATGAATCATCACTAATACCCGAAATATGGAAAATAACACTACCAATCAAATCAAGTGGAAATCAAGTGAAAAATAATGGAACTATATAAATGAATTTAGGAAGTCGTGTGATTACCTTGATATGATTATGAGCAATAAATTGTGCTCGAAACGTCATCAGTAAATATTACTGTATAACACTGTGAGACTCTATCAAAATAAAGTTTACCCATAATGGAATTATGAGGTTCCGCTTGTGATTGATGGATACTCAAGAGTACCCGAAGGGTAAACGTTTGTCGACTGGCCCTTCTGCGTAGGCTTTCGCCAAAAAGAAACTATTTACTGAACTGTTTGTTTTTATATTCATGTCTGGATGAGTATTTTTTGAGTTTTCAAATAAGCTGATGATTCCTTCTGATAAGTGACAGATCAGCCTAATTTATTTTGACATTCACTCTATTTTCTGAGTGTTGATTTGAAGGGATTTGATTGATTTCAAGACTGATCACGAACTGACATAGGTTAGAGAACCACTGGAAATAACCCGGGAGCACTGGGCAACTGTTTCGTCATTTTTTGGGACTCTTCAGTAGTACTCACTGATGACCCCATCAGAAATCAAACCTAGAACCTTCAGGTTAACAGGTGAGCTCGTTGACCATTCAGCCAATGGAATGGAATTTAATCGTTCATGAATTCCAACTTCTATCAGTTCACGATGTATAGCTCAACCGCTAGCCATTGTCATCGGTGAGTATTGTCCTTACACTAAAATTGGTGGACTTCACTGGTGGCTCAACGAAATCGCCTTGTAACCTGAAAATTTTGGAGTCGATCCTTGTAGTCAAGGTCACAGATGAGTACTGATGGAGAGTCATGAACTAGGGCTAAACAGCCTTCGAGTAGCCTCTCGATTCAAGCTGATATATAATTAAACTTAAAGGCAAGAGATTTCCATCAGTTTCTAGTCAATAATATATACATGAAATATTTCTCTGACGCATTGTTACATATCTCACTTTTATTTTGTTCTGTTTGCAAGCAAATATACACACATATATATGATGCATTAAATATTGTTATTATTTGGTAGATGGTTACTAGCAGTGAAATCCAGACATCATCCAGGCATCTGTACCAGGAGCCGACATGTCAGCATAGAAGGAATATTTCGGTTCAATATAATCGATCATCGAGGAATACAAAATAGGCTTAGACAGGTAACGACTGATAACCATTAACCAACAGATGGCTCTCGTGGCACCACTGGCTCAGCGAATAACACTTCGGTGTTTGGAACGATGGGTACAGTGTTCGAGTCTCAGAGGGAACACCATCACTCATCCACTCACCGGGGAAAGTGGGCACGTACAGTTGACGAGTCCCAAATAGGACGAAATACACATCCTGGTTTCCACTGCTAATCACCATCCACCAGATAACATCCTGTTAACCTTCACACATCGTCGAGGAGTTCGTACTAAGAATCGACATGTCAACAAAGCCAAAACATTTCGGCCAAGTCGATCAACGGAAAAAAAAACAAAATTAACTTCAACAAATTATTGTTTTTATTACTTGTGAAATATTCTTTACATAATAATTATTAATTTTAAATATGGTTAATTTTCCTTTTAAATATTCTTTCTCTTCTAGAACAGTTCATCTACTGTTTTACACGACAGTCGTATGAAGAACCCCGAAAAAAAGAATCGGTCAGTTAAAGCATGTTGTTCCTGCTATTGGAACGCGAAAAGACGCAAAGTACTTAGAAGCCTAATGAAATAGGTATATACACAGAAAAAGAAAGATAACTTCCGCCAAAACTTTGAAGATTTTTAAATTGTGCGGGCAGCTTTACACAGATAAACAACAGAAAAATAATTTAAGCTAATTTTAAGAGACACATTGAAGCAGTATGCATCATAGCTGTTAGTCTACCCGGTAGTTAGATATCATTGCACTAAATCATAAGCATCACAATAAGTTCGAGGTTGTTCAACACAGTAGTCGTCATGTTTACAGTGTAAAGTAGGCAGGTGAGAATTTGTGAGTGTATGCCTGTGAGATAAAACACATTAAGATTATTTACACAAAACTAGTTTGGAAATAAGGCGATCTCTCCGAGTTAGCTCTTTGCAGTAGAGGTTTACGTAATAACGATTCATTGGTTTCACTGGTTTCTGGATCAGTGTTTTTTGATATTTTTAAGTTATCATTTGTCTGTTGAACATTTTCTTTTAATAATAGTGTAGGTTTTGTTTTGTTAAAGTGCACCTTACTACTGTTATTATTATTACTATTATTTTCATGGTTCAAATTCGTCACATGCGGTTTACCAGAATGATCTCGTTTCAGTGTAGGAGTAGCGGCGTTAACTGCATTCGTAATACATACTGAGTTATTTAGTGAAGCATTCAAGTGTGGAATTTTTATCAATCGTGTATCTATAGTTTGATAAACACTCTGTGAATAGGTATCATTCGGTTTTGTATTCTGGAGTGATGTCTTTGCCGGTATACTTCCAGTATTGTTAAGATTCACTTGCATGTAGGTTTGATTTTTGCCTAGTGAATGTGGCGGCTGAGGCGGTGGTGGGGACCATGGGTTCAGTGAATTGGCTGGTTTAATCAGTGCACATTTCTGTTCGTGGAATAATGAATCTTCTACAGGAATTCGACATTGGAGTGTTCTAGTTTGTGGAGAGTGAATAGCAGTAGCGTGCAGATGATTGTTGGTCGGTCCAAGATTCGATGGAACAAAGGCTGTATAATTGTTTAACAGGGTTGATGATGAACTAGGAACTTTCATATTTTCAAGTGAAATATCATAAGATGCTTCATTTGAGTTATGTTCCATTGGATGGTGATATATCATCTCTTTTGCATAATAATCAGGATTTTGATGGATATGGTGAATGTTTACAGGAAATGTATTGAAAGTCTAAAAAAGTTATAAAAGATGTAAAAGATATCATCGTCTAACTCATATTTAGAAACAGTAAAAATTCCATCAAGAAATTGTAAAAGTTAGAAACCATACGTCTCTTCAAGAAAATATAAATAGTAGAAACTAGTAGCATTTTCTAGGTGGAATATTATTATGAGTTTCACTAATAGTTGTCTTCGTTTCATACTCAAGACGAGATGGTCAGAAAGGATTAGTTACAAAGGAGCTCTGATAACCAACCGACCTAAAAATATGCAAATGGAAATGGAGATGGATTGGACATATACTGAGGAAACTGTTGAATGGCATCCCGCGAAAGGCAGGCCCTCGAGTGGAATGCGAATGGGAAAAGACGAATTGGCCGTCAGAGGCTGGTGTGGAGGAGATCATGTGAAGAGGAGATGAGAGTTTATTAGCGCCCAATGCATCTGCAGCTCTGATGCCCTGGAGGAAGAACTACAATTCATGAAAGAAATCTTCATACAAAACAGATATCCACCAAGATTCATAGACAAAAACATCAAACAGAAAATCCAAAAGCAAGAGACACCATCCATGCCAAAAAAGATACTTTATATGAACCTCGACTTCAGAGGTGACCTACTCAGTGATATCCTTAAGAGGAGAATTCCCACTTCTTTAAGAAGAACTTTCTTCGCGGCAACACTGAGAGTAGTGTTCTCCAGTCGCCCGCTGATCTGCAGAAGCCCAAAGGACAAGATGTCGCACCTGACCACTTCTATGTGTATATATATCAGTTGACCTGTTGCTGTGTAGCCAAGTACATCGGTCGTTCGATGCACATCCTGTCAAAAAAGGGTCAAAGAACACTATCCAGCATGGTTGCAGAAAGGATGTGCAATAATTGAACATCTCGTCACCACTGGTCATTCCATCTCAACAAACGCCTCCTTGAAAGTAATCTACAAAGTGAAGAACAACCTGCCAAAGACAATACGTTTCCGTCTTCTTTGCATTGTAGAAGCCCTAGCCATTCAGTTGGAAGAACCAGAATTATGCGTGCAAAAGAGAATCATCCACCCACTCCTACTATCATGGTAACAACTCTGTTGATCTGACTTAACTTTTGCTTGTTTTTCTAACTACTTAAAACTCTTAAGTAATTTCGTATTTTATTTTGTTTCCATATTCACCCTGAGCACAACTCTTGCATCAAACTATTCATGTTATTATATAACTCTTCTTTAACAATCGTTTGCGACGACTCATCACTTTTGCTACTACCCTCTTATATCAACATCCAATTCCTCTGAATACTTTTTGTATTACGTAACTCCACCCAAAACTTACTAATTCTCACCTGTTTAGTTAAAATAACCATAACCAATTGTATTTTTGTTTGACAAACTTGATGTACACATGCATACAAAGCAACCCATATATATTTGTGATTGTACAGCTAAGAAAATGAATTCGCGGAAAAGCGAATCTTCGCTGAACTACTGGTCTTCTCTTTATTCGGAATCATGGAGCCAGCTAAAAGGTGCTGCGAGAAGAGCATGAAATGAAGGTGTGCTGTTGAAGTCCTATGTTCCACTTGGAATCCTAGGGAATAATAATATATCCTATTATATCATTAATAGTCTGTTAACTCAAAGCTTCAGAAGTTCGATGGCAGAATGCCAGCTAACCATCTATGTGGTCCAGGATTCGATTCCTGGCCGATGCACTCTTAAACCTCACTTAGTTTGATAGCCAGCGGTAAGCTTGTGAAAAGAGGGGTGCTTGGGGGCAGGACTAACTATGCAATACTGTAAAAAATAACATCACCCCTAATGAAACTTCAAAGCCTGAAGACCTATGTTTCGTTTGTGACGCAAAAGAATGAAGAAAGCTTAAGACTCCCCCCATATAGTCTCACCATCTGTTATTAAACTATCAACTTTGTTGATAAATACTTTCCTATTACGATGGCATAAACAGATTTTTGTATTAGTTAGGAGGGCAGTCCGCTCCATCCTCCTTTATGGCTGTGAGACCTGGTCATTGAGAGTGGAAGACATGAAAAGGCTGGCTAGCTGTCTTTGATCATACGTGCCTGCGTTATCTCCCGTTTGAAATGGTATAATAGGGTGAGTAATATTGAGGTTAGGCGAAGAGTGGTAGGTAAAGGGGGGAAATCAATAGACGAGGATGTGAAGTTACATCGATTGAGATGGTTACGACATGTGTTACGCATACCTAGCCTAGCCATCACCTTCCTCAATGGGCAGTGTTAGTTGACATAGGACTGATCAGGTTGGAAAAGAGCCAATGGTGGTCAAACCAAAATATGGCTTCATCAGTCAATGAAATCCACAACAGTTAGTTTAAGCCAGTCACGAAGGGAGGTGTAGACTTCCTGACTGGTTGGCGTCCTGGGGATGGTAAAAACCAATGGTTGGAGACAATTGGTGATATGGCTCAAAATCGTTCTCAGTTGCGCAGATGCATCCACTCCTTGTGACTTATAATTTCCAATAAAACTATATTGTTCTTCGATATTACTATTCTTTTTGCCTCATATCTCTGTTTACTGTCTCTGGTTTGCGTTTCTTTTTACTTTCTTCTCTTGCTTTGTGTGCTACATGGAGGGAGTGTGGCGACTTGAACTGCTGCACATCGGTGCAAAGTTCTTTGTTAAAACCAGTCAGTCAGTAAGTCAGTGTATTAGTTATGGGATCTAGTATTTTGTCGAACTAATGCCGACGAACTTTTACCTTGGCATTCACTGAATTTATTGACCAAGTAGCATAGAGAAAAACCATTTGTGTTGTTTAATAAGTGGAAGTGGTAGGCATCAAATAGTTTTGAATCCGAATTAGGAACCGGTCTGAATCCCTAATTGAAAGATACAAATCCTCAGCTGAACAACATCCATATACACTGTCTTAATGCAAAAGTCGTTTCACATAGTAGTTTTACTCAGCTTGGCTAGTGTAGTTGCGTTCAATTCTCATTTGTCTATTTCTAAATTAAATCTTCCACTAAAATAAATTTATCCTAAAAATAGTAGCATGATTTGTAGCCATTTATGCAATTATATAACAATACTGCGTGTTCTGATTGGACACTAGTTAGTAACTAGTGTAATGTGTCTTGTCCTGTGTTTGGTGCAGACTGAATTCTATCAGTCACGTTGGCAATGTGGCTAACACCAAGCTAGGTGACTCGCCGTCACGCTGCACTTTGAATAGTCTCCACCAAACAAAGGACTAAACACATTAAACTAGTTACTAACTAGTTTCCAATTGGAATTATTCAATTCAGTCCTACAGGAGGTCGATCGCGAGCCCTAATAGCTCAGTGGTGGTAACGTTTCTGACTGCAGCCCTGCTGGTTGACGCGGGTTCGAATCCTAAATATGACTTGATGACTGGTGAGCGCCAACTAGCACAAAGCCTAGGTGAAGCAAGGCTTCCTGTGGCCGATTGCCTCCAACCATCTAATACTGCCTGTACATGTATAGACTCCTAGACAAAATCTTCTCTATACCAGCATAAACAATAGAGCGAAATAAGGCTGATTTTGACGCCCAACTATGGACCAAAAATAAATTATTATTATTATTATTGTTCCCTTGGGTTCCTAGTGGAACATAGGGCTTCAACTGCACGTCTCCACTTGCTTCTGTCTTCTGCTGTACTTTTCACCTGCATCCATGTTAGTCCATACTGTTTCAACTCCTCTTCACACGATCTCCTCCATGTCACCCTTGCACCGACGAACCACTCGCCGCTTCCCTTTCGGGTTCCACTCGAGCACTGGCCTGACGCGCGATGTCACCCAGCGGTCCCCTCAGCCAGTGTCCAATCCATCTCCACTTTCTCCTGCATATTTGTTGGGCGATTGGTTCCTGTTTCGTTTGTTCCCATAGTTTCTTGTTGGTGATTCTTTCCAGCAATCCGATCTTCAGTATACAGCGAATAACGAAGACAGCTGTTGATAAAGGTGTGCAACAGGCTGTTGGAAATATTCTTTGTCACCCGCCAAGTTTCTGATCCGTATAGAAGAATCGACTGACTTGACGTTTGTACTGAAAATCCGAATTTTGTTGTTGATGGTGAGTGACGAAGATTGGTTTCAGGTTGATGAATGTGTTTCTCGCCTTCCCGATTCTCGATTTGACATCCTCGTCCGTTCCTCCTGTAGTTGAGACAATGCTCCCTAGATAAGTGAATGAAGTGACCTCTTTCAAATCCCTCCCGTTGATGGTGATTGGCGCTGGATGTTGTTGCTGCTGTTGTTGTTGTTGTTGGTTGGTTATTTTCATAACCTCCGTCTTGTCCATGTTCACCTGGAGTCCTGTCTTCTTGGCTGCTTCTTCGACCAGTTTGCCGGTTTTCGCTTGTAAGTCTTCGATTTTGTGTGACATCATCAAACATAAATCATCCACGCGCGAAATCCAGGTCTTCTAGATACTTCACGTCGGTCTAGGATATCCTTGTCTTCTCGTTTCCCACTGTCTGACGCATAATCCAGTCTACCACAATTAGGAATATCATTGGTGAACCTCGCCTAGATTACTAGCTCACTAGTTTTCTAGCCGTTCCCAAGCCCGGAAAAAGAGGGAGGGTTGGGGCGTGGTGCTAGCAACTCCACCCCCAAAAAGTTAACCAAACTGCTACAAAAACTTCAACGCGCAAATATATTAAAAATTCTAAAAAAAAAAACCAAAGATAAAACGTTTAGTAAAATTCAAGTGTATCTTATACATACCATTGTTTTAGATGGTGTTGAACCTGTTGAACATGCACTTTTCATTCCAATAGTATTGTCATTTTGATTATTCTGTTCTTCTTTCATAAACTCTGTAATGTAAAATAAAAACAAACAAAATATACCGATTTGTTTAAAACAAAATGAAAAGTGAATGTTTTCACTTGAAGAAAAAAACACACATCAATTTTGAAGAACCGAATTCCGGCAATTGGAAGGACAGTTTAATTAAGCTTTTCACAGCCTTTATGGATTTATTCCTTAGGTACCTGAGTAACTAAACCACTTTAGTGGAAGTGAGAAGTTTATCTCAGAAATTCTGATTTACACCTTTAAGACTAACAAATTTATGGAAAGCATGTCCTTTGTTGATGGCTAGCGATGAGATCCAGAATGTGCATTTCATCCTCTTTTTGGGACTTGCGGTTTGACTGTGTCTCAATCCTAGTGAGTGATATTAAGGTATCGTTAGAGCATTTTTATAAAGAGCTGACATGTAAATCAAGACAGATTATTACAGTTCAATAAGATTAGCCAAAGTGAAGAATTCAGAAGTTTCAATAGAAGACCATATTCACTGATTTTTAGAATGGAATCAGTGAAGGCGATTACTGATAAAAATCAGCAGTAGCCTGTTTGAAATGTTTTCGGTGACGCAGGCGCCAAGTTTCTAACCCATATAGATGAAGTGGCTGACTTAACGCTTGTGTTGAAAATCCGAATTCTGTTTTTGGTGTTGAGTTCAGTAGATTTCAGAGTGGTGTGAATGCCTGTAGTTGAAACGCGGCTGCCTAGATAAGTGAATAAAGTAACCTCTTTCAAGTATCTTCCTTTGATAGTGATTGGTACCTGTTTTCAGTTGGTTGTATTCATCACCTCCATCTTCTCTATGTTCACCTGCAATCCTGTCTTCGCTGCTTCTTCAACCAGTTTGTTGGTTTTCACTTGTAAGCCTTCACGTTTGTGTGACATTAGACAGAAATCATATGCAAATTACAGATCTTTCAGAGCATTCTTTTCGGTCTAACGTATTCCTATCTCATTGCTCCCCACAGTTTTCCACATAATTCTGTTCACTACAGTTCATAATATTATCGGTGATAGTAGGCAGGCAGTCTTGTGTTACTCCTGTCTTCGATTCCCTTTAAATGCTTCACTGAGTTTTCTGTCCGAGATCATATGAGATTCAGCATTGTCATGTAGCTGCTGAATGAAGTTGATAAAGATTTGGAGAAATTTACAGTGTTGAAGTAGTTCCTAAATTACTTCTAGGTGTACGCTGTCTGTCGAAGGCCTACTCGAAGTCGATGAAGTTGAGGTACAGGTTTCACTGTCATTCTACGATTTGTTCGATGACGATGCGAAGAGTTGTGATTCAATCAGCACATGCTATGCCTTTCCTTAATCTGGTTTGTTCTGGGCTGATGAAGTTCTGCATCCAGTGCATCCTTTATTCTCTCCAGGATGATGCGATTTAGTATTTTACTTGGCGTGGACAAGAGCATGATTCCACGCCAGTTCTTTCACAAGCCTAAGTCGCCCCTTTTTGGTAGCTTGACAAGGTAGCTAATCTTTCTTCCAATCGGTAGGCACCATTCCTTCCTTCCAAACCTTTTGCAATAATGGCATCAGCACACCTGTTGTAGTCCCTGGGTCCAGCTTTAGTGTTTTGGACGGAATTCCATCTAGTCCTGCTACTTTCCTCGCCAGGTTTTAGTAGATTGATCGCATTCAGGATTTCTGCTTTCGTTGGTATGCAGTTTTGTGCATGCTGTTGCTGGTATTTCTGTGCGAGTTGCAAGTGATGGTCACTTCAACAGTCCTTTGTTTTATTTGTTTCTCCTCCTTGGTAATCAGGTTCTCTTGAACATCTTTTATTGGTTTCATCATCTGGGTTGATCTCTTTCCGGATAGAGACCCGGTTGTCTTATATAATTCCATTAAGTCTCTTTTAACTGCAGCCTGCCAGTTCCGTTTCACTTGTATCATAGAATTGTCTTTTGTCCTTCCTAGCACTCTTATCTACTGCTGCATTCAGTACAGTGTACATTGACGAAGTTATAATCTACCACAGTGCCCAAGTTTTGTACTTATATCAATAATACATTGAACTCAGTTTCTCCCTCTGTGTCCGTCTTCTCATTCGATGATCTTCCCTTTCCCCATTCTCCTCTCTTCTCTTGACTTCCACATAGGTGTCCGTTGAGGGCCACTCCTTGTCTTGTCTCTTCTTTCTTCCTAGAACAGTTGTACACGTTTCCTTGAATAACCCATTCAGACAGTTACTTCCAATGTTCTTCCACGCAGGTTTCCCCGGTGATAACACGTAGTGTCTCCGACTTTGCTCTAATATCTGTAGACATCACTTGCAGTTTTGTCCTTCAGTTTCTGAATGTTGAAAACTTGAAATGCGGCCAGAGTGCAGTTGTTCTGAAGGCTTTCGGCCTGACCCTGAAGGTTCCTTGAACCTGATAATGGTCTGAGTTCACACCTGCTTCCCTTCTCGACTTTGTATTCAGCAGGCTACGTCTTTGCTTTCTTGAGATTCAGGTGAAATCCCTAGATTGGAACCCGAATATGAACCGAAAAGTTCAGCTCCTGAGTATAACATAAAGGTCATGTTACGGGGAAATGTAAACTTATAGGCATTTGTGAAACCAGTTTAAAGAAATTATGGAGGACAAAGTGCAGTGGCGATGTGATACTGAAGCTCTAAGTTCCACTAGGAACTCAGGCGTTTGAATAATGTTCATAATATAAATTGACTGTCATATAGCAACCAGCATAGCATATAATTCTCAGTCTTTGATACAAGGCTCTCAGTAAAGTTGATAACGTAAGTTTGGAAACTCTAATGGTGAAACAATTCTTTTCATAGTCGTAAACGGACTCTTTTTAATGAATCCCAGGAAATGAGAATAACTGGTCAAGGTAGGCTTTCAGTCGACAAAAAAGTAGATCACTATCTACAGCGATTTGATTAATACATAAAAATAGTGATTAATACATATTGGGGAATTTAAATTACCTAGTAGAGGTGATTACTGCGCATTAAATCTTACTAACAATAGTACTAATAAACAGTTTTTACGAGTTGAGTTCATCCAGATGTCGCGTGTGTGGATGGATGTCCCACCAACGACATCGCGCTAAAATATCACGAATTGGTAGAAGTTAGAATTCATGAGCCATTGAATCGTGTCCAATTGTCGGCTGAATGATTTACGAGCCAGCTTGCCTTGTAACTGGAAGGTCCTGGGTTCGAGTCCCAGGGGGTGTGTACTGCCAATTATTCGCAAACTAGGATGAAACAGCTGTTCAGTACTCTCTGGTTTTCAATGGTTCTCTAACTGATATCAATCTGTGATCAACTCGTAAAACACTTCTAACCCTTACAAACCAAACTATAGAAAACCAATCAACAGACCAAAAGTCACAGTTTTGCAACACTGAATATTACAAATAATTTATGAAATTAGTTAATTAATGTAGTTTCAATTTAGCAATTGAGTTAGTTTATTTTTCATAATATCACCCAGCATAAAATGCTAAGTAATAGATGGAAAATATTCATCGGATTTCAAGCAGTCGACTAGAATCACCTCTCCTCCCAACCCGCCCTCGACATCCATCATTAGTTATGTGAATTTATTATGTCTGAAGTTTAATCATCATCACCATCATCATACGAGACACATCTGTGTTAAGTAAATTTTTCGATTTAATTTTCCATAGTAGTCCTTTCCTCAGTTTTTGTCACGTAGAGTTATGTAAACGTGACAGAATAAATCGTGCTTTTCATAAACAACTTCAAGTTGTTGTGTCAATTTCTTTGAAGGAAAAAAATGGAGAAATTTCGCGCTCATTTTGACTAGTACGCCTGGTGGTGATTCTTAAGTAAACCGAAAGGGAGCGACTTCTTTTGCAAGGTGGAAAACGCAGTGTGTTAAAATAAAAAGTAAATAAAAAAGGAACATTCAATGGTCAACATTCTAATAAGCGCTTTTTTAAAACTATCCTGGATTCAGTAGTAGAAATTATATCACAGGCGTATTTTAGGAATGATAGGGAAGATTTTTTGCTAAGGTGGAATTACATCGACTGAGATGGTTAGGACATGTGCTACGTATGCTTAGTCATCGCCTTCCTCGACGGGCAAAGTTAGCTGATATAGGGTCAGGCTGGAAAAGAGCTAGCGGCGGTCAAACCAAAACATGGCACCAGTCAATGAAATCCACAACAGTTAGTCTAAGCCACGTAGGAAGATGTAAACTTCCTGGTTGGGGTCCTCGGGACGGTAAAAACCAATGGTTGGAAACAATTGGTGACATGGCTCAAAATCGTTCTCAGTGGGGCAGATACATCCACTCCTTGTGACTTATGATTTCCAATTAAACTTTTGTTCTCCGTTATTACTATTCCTTTGTCTCACACCTCTGTTTACTGTCTATATTATGCATTTCTTCTACTTTCTTCTCTTGCTTTGTGTGCTACATGAAGGGAGTGTGGCGACTTGAACAGCCACACATATGTGCAAAGTTCTATGTCGAAAACCGACCGACCGACCTAAGGTGGATGATACCGATGGATTTGTGTTAGCAGAACTTCACTAGTCTTCTCAGACCGCATATTCAACGACTACTTTGATACGAAGTAACCTTTTGGAATTCTTTATGAGTTTAATATCCATCGCTCCCGATGATCTCGGGTGTGGTTGATTGCTTCCGGAGATTTCCTCATCCTTTGGTACTCTTGTGTTGGTATTGATTATTTCGTTGACCCGATAGTGTTGACCTTTTGTTCATGTGACTTCCCTTTTTAGTGTTTGACAGATCTCATGTTGTGGACGTTGTTGGTTTTGTCTTCTTTTGGTGTTGCAGCTATTAGTTGACATCGAGGAACATAAACTGGCTATTCAAAGACATGATATCCATTCCCACATATTAATGCATGCAGATAACTATGGACACTAATTCGACTGGAAATGTGTACGAATATTAGACAAAGGGTACACCAAAAATTTCAGGGAATTCTTAGACGTCGGTTGCAGCGAAGAAAATTTTCTTTTCGACGAAGTCACCAACTAAACTGTACATTAGTGTGTTTATAGTAAAAGGGTGGGAAACTTCCAGAATAATTTCTGGTCCAGTGTCAAATTAATAAAATTACAATTAGGAATTAAAATTCCATAATAAACCGGGGGACTGATAAAGCTCAGGCAAAGTAGCATCATAATTACTGAGAAGACTGACATGTTGGGCAATTAGGGGTTAGAAATGTAGAAATAACAAAAACAGATAGGATGTTTGGATAAAAAATCTAGATGTGACGGATAATTGTTTGTGCAGTTAGGGATTAGATATGTAGAAATAATAAATAATAACAAATTCTTAGAAGCTTAGTACTCAGGTGAATCTGCAGTCAAGATACACATAGGTCAGATTTATCAGACACAGTGGTTAGGACTCTCGCAGGCCATGCACATGGTCCGGGGTTCGATCCCCTGCAGACGCACACCTGAAATCTATGGTCGGCCTGCAAAATTTGGGCTACCGATATCACATGCTGAAAATTCCATACATGTACCGAAAATACGTCGTGGAATCAAGCTGTAATCAAAAGAAAGGGGGAGGTCACATGAACATTATCAGGTCAACAAATTAATCAGTACATATGATCGAGAGGGCAAGGGAGTATCAACAACAGCTAAACACATTCAAGATCGCCAGGAAAGACGGCTGGTAAACTCGTGAGTAATTTCAAGAGCTCATTTCATATTGAAGTCTGCGTGGAATACACTGTCTTGGAAGACAATAAAATGCTGGCAAACAGGGGTAATTCAGTAATTACATCACAACTGAATCATGAAGTAGTCATAAAATAATTTTGTTAATGTTTTATTTCACAAGGAACTCTGGTGACGAATCAACCAAGAACCTACTGCCTAACAAATGTTCAGAAGAGAACTGAAATAGATTGAACATATACAAAGGAGACCACTGAGTGACATCACATTCCGGGGAGGCTCTCGAGTGGGACCCGAATGGGAAACGACGAGTTGGGCGTAGGTGTGAGGGTGACATGATGAGAACATCGTCTGAAGAGGAAATGAGAGCTTCTGGTCAATCATGGATCTGGGTAGAAACAACTACAAAGAACAGGGTAAAGTGGAGATGTGCTGTAGAAGCTGTCTGTTCCACTTGGAACCCAAGGGAATAATAATGACAACAATAACTTCATACTTCGCATTTCCCTACACACATATCAAACTTTAAACTCTGACGTACCTTTCGTCGTTGTTGATGCTGTTACTGTTGTCGAAGCAGTGTCGAATGCACAGCGTTTTGTTAGAATAATAGCAACCAACAATAGTACACACAATACTCCAGCGATAGATGCCATCACAATAATAATTAATGTCTGTTGACCATATCCATAGACTGGTTTCGAATGACTTGATTTATACTGCTGTGATGTTGAACTTGCCGACTGAGAATATAATAATCCATTATTGATATTACCATCAATATTTGATGATCTGTAAAGATAATCTTTGTCCAGTTGGTCATTTTCACCATAACTGAAATGTTTACGTAGGGGATCTTCATTTGAATTGGTATAATCATAATTCGATTGATGGCCAGTTAAGTGTTCTGCACCCTGATGACTTAAACGTGGATTAGCACTTTTATCTGAGATTCTAAGATTTGGATCACTTCGAATGATCACTGTGAAATGAACCTAGGTGAGGAAACAAAAATAGAGGTTTACAAAAGTTATTTGTATCTGAAAAAATAAGATCAGCTTTACAAAATAGATCATCTTAAGGTAATAAAATACTTTTTATATGTGGGTATATTTACGTAGATTCTGTTCTGTTATTCCTTTCACGTTGATGGCATTCTAGACAGAATTTATGTTCCCCGGATTTTCGCTAAAAGTAAAAATCACATTGATGAAGAACTTATCCCATTATTGTACAATGTTTAAAATTCTCCCAAATTGTGGAAAATGTCCATCAGGATATTAGAGAAGAAAAGACAAGAAGCTTTGAAGCCTTCGACCCAGTTTTCTTGCTAGTTGGCGCTCACCAGTCAGCAAGGCGTATCTTCAACCTCGAAGGAACTCATGTCCCTTCTGAGATTCAAACCGTGATGGCGAGCTACCTAGAATTGTGGTCACATTGCAAACCTGACTGATAGAATTCAGTCTACACCAAAGAAAGGACTAGACACATCGCACCAGTTACTAGTGTCCAATCAAAGAACAAGAAGCTTATCAGAGATGTCTTTTCGGCGATTGCATCCTCGGAAGCTGTACAATCACATAGTTACAATTATTATTTAATTCAAAATAATAACAAATGGAAATTAAAGGTGATAATACTTCTGAATTTGATATAAAATTTTGAAGTGTGAAAAATACATCACAAAGGGCATTGACGCAAAATTAGATGGCATCAGAAAGCAGTTACGCAATATGCAAAAATTACCCCGCTCTTATGCGGCTGAATACATAGTTCCTTCTATGCTAGTCCTTTCAAAACGTGTCAGAGAACATTACCTAGCATGGATGAAAAGAGGCAGTACTGATTCAATCAGAAGTGCTATAGTTGAACACCTCATCACCACCTGTCACAGCATCTCAATTGACTCATTCGTCATTCAGAGGCATTTACCAAGTAAACAAACATCTACCAGAAGCAGTGCGTTCCTGACTTCTTTGTACTGCAGAAACCCTCATCATAATCATCGAGAAACTGGAGCTGTGTTCAGAAGAAACAAGTCCAACCTCTACATTCACTATGGATCCAGTTCTGTTTGACATCTTGGTTGTCGCTTTTTTTCATTCCCTTCATCTTTTACATTCAGTTATAAAAATTATTATTTCATTTTTTTCCATGCATATCCCATTTACACCTGCCATAGTTAAAAACTATCCTGTATATTATGTAACTGTTTTCTAATTCTATGTAATTTTGTGTCTGTGCTCTTTGTGATATGTATTCTTACCATCAGACTTCTATATCAAGCTGGAAATTATTATCACTTTTAATCTGCACTCATTACTATGTAATGACATTAGATTTTGAAACTGTCATCTTATCCCATCCTTTATTGTATGGTTGTGTGTAATTGCGTGTATTGAGTGCTATAGCTGAACTATTTTCTATATTTCTTATCTTATTCAGGTCAACTAATCTAGATTTTGCTAGGTTTTTATGTTCGGCTAGTCTGACTGCCCCTGACCTGGCAATCATTGCAGGGTATGAGATAAACTAAATTGTTTTGTTCTAAAGGCTCCACAGGATTGATCCTTCAACAGACAAAGCTTGTCTCTAATTGAGTTTGTAGATTTGAGTGTCACTTTTATTCCTGCCTTGTTAAGAATTCTGCGTAAGGTGGTTTCCGAGGTTCCTTCCTTGTATGGAATTACTACTGATGATTTCCATTCCTTATTGTTGGTGTCGTCTTGCGCTTGTTTGACATGCATGTCTTCAATTCCTTAACTTATTCCATTGGTCGACAGGTTTATATGATATGACAAGCACATAAAATATTAATAAATGGATGACGTTTGGAGCACAATCTACTGCTTGCAATCATATTAAATCATACTAAAATGGAATAATGTTCTACCACAGTGCTGAAATTCTGCTGTTATTTGAATAAATGCTAACTTCTTTTCAGTTCTAATCGATATTAGTAGGAAGTTTGTGTCAGTTATGAAGAATGCATAAAAGTGGCTATGTCTGTCGTGTAGCATTACGCCATATCTGACTCACCCCCACCTGCTGGCTCTGAATTATTATTTGAAGTGGTACCAGAAACACTCCTGGCTAAATGTAAAAAACCGGCTCTTTAAGTTAAGCAATCGCTTAATTGTTGTATAGACTACGAGTGAGAACCGGTTTCTACTAAACGAGCTAAAAATGAACCAAAAACGTGATCATAATGAGTTGTAAATCTTTGGGGTTTTTTCTAATGTACGGAAATAGCTTGAGTAGTTTGTTCCAGGTTGCCTTGGATGACTCATGTCTTTTCTATCCTTAATTGATTTATTTCTCTTTGTCAAGACAGAGTATGTGTGGAATAAAACATCTTCCATGTTATTTTCCTCACCTCAGTATAACTGTAATCCTCGTATAAGACAACAATAACGACAACAACAAAAATGTTGCTTTTGCTTTTTATTTGAGGGATTTAGCATAACAGAAAAGACGAATCTCTGGAGACGTTTGCTGACAAAACACATGAATTAATTACTTAAATTTATATGTGTAAAAAAACAGTTTTATAGTTACAATTTAAATGAAAATTAAATAAGACTGCTGTCTTCTACTTAAGTTGAAAAATATGTCCTGACCAGAATACTTGTTAAATTGTTTAAGGTCGTCTATCTGGGTTGGGTGGGTTTATTTTTGACAAAAATGGTTGTCTAATTTTTGGTCTTATAGAATTACAACAAAACGCGAATGGTAAAATTGCATACTCCTAATTTTGGCTAATTTCAGCCCGACATTCATTGATAACCTCAACTTTATTTCTCCTTTTACCCACTTTCTGAAGACTCGACATTATTTAGTTATGGGGAGTTTAAATTTATCATTGAATTTAGCATCTTTCAAGGTTATATGGATCTTTACACACATATATATCATCGATGTCGACTGCTTGACCGTTATTCAAGACAGCTAAGCTCTCTTGTAAACTTCCCATCTTCTCGCTTTGTTTTAACAAGCCGATTGTACCACGATTGTTATGGGCAACATTACAATTAGCCATCAGAGTAGGTTTCTTCTGCACATTAGGTTTGGAGTGCTCACAGTTTGCTAGGTAATATTACCGTTGTATAAGGGCAGTGAAGAATGATTGCAAATTACAAAATATTCATTTGTAATCTCTTCAAAAATGGTGAACTTCTAAGTATCCCTATAGACTGCAGACTTAATCTACTGACATGTTCGGCTACTGATGTTATTATTCTTGAAGTAATTGAAGTACGTAGGTGTAAGTATTTAGGAACTACATGATTTTTTAAACATCGACTGCTGAAAACCCGATGGTTTGTGAGTTTGTTGATAACCTTTCTTGTAGGAAGACCAGATGTATCATTGATTATATCATACTCTACCACAGTGAACAAGTTATATTCTTATATAAAAGTCTGCACAGTTGCATAAACAGCTATGTTGTCGAACTCCCTATTGAGGATCACATGGCCAGAAAGCATAAGTAGAAAGGAACTTTGTCAACGAAAAATTCAACAATCTAGCGCCCAACAAATATGCAGAAAAAAAGTGGAGACGGATTCGAAAACACTGAGGAGACATTTCGACATCATGCTCCAGAAAAGCCCTCAAGGGAATTCGAATAGGAAACGAGTTTGGCGTACGTACAAGAGTGATATAGAGGAAGATATCTTGTGAGGAGGATGTGGAAGCTTTATAGGTAGTTGTGTAATCAGCTAAAAGAGAGTGCAGAGAAGAAAGTGAAATGGAGATGTACTGTTGATGCCGTGTATTCCACTCGGGACCAGACTGAATAATAAAATGAATAATCCCTATTCAGACAAAAACAAAGAATTCAGAGAATAAATGAATAGAGGTCATATATGTCCAAACCAAGTTCACTTTTAACAGTTTGAAAAAATTTGGGCATTGGGTAGATGATATTCATTATAATAAAGGTTTTCTTGTATTTCCTAGTGAATGAATAAAAAACAAAACGATATTGTTGTTTTTACTGACATTTCGCTATTTGATGCTTAGCAGCATCAAATACAAGAAAACCTTTATTATAAGGAATATCATATACCCAATGCCCAAATTTTTTCAAACTGTTAATAGTGAACTTGGTTTGGACATATATGACCTCTATTCATTTATTTAGTCATTCATTCATGTCTAATCAGTTTGTGACACATAATCATATACACCAATATTATCGCACTTTGTTATTTCCACTCACTGTCAAACTTCAACACACACACATACAAAGCGATTGTAATTGTCCATTGTAATGCATACATTTTTTTAAATAAGGCATTTAGAAGACAAGTTTCGCCAGGTGATATCATTTCGTAGTCTCTTTGCAACCGCTTTGCAACTAACATGGTTCACAATAATAATAAATTTTCTATAGTTGGTTTGTAAGGATTAGTTTTGTTTTTACGAGTTGATCACGGATTGATATCAGTTAGAGAACCATTGAAAACCTGCAGGGAGTACTGGACAGCTGTTTCATCCTAGTGACTTGCTACAGGATGGAGTTTCCTGGAGTTCTAATGAGAAGTCGTGACCAGTGGGATCCATCCGGTAAAGTGTAAGGATGGATGTCCCGCCAATGACATTGGTTGGTGCCAGTCGGGCTAAATCACGAATTGGTAGAAGTTAGAATTCATTGGCTGGCCATTGAAGAGTCGGGTCCAGGTGACTGAATGGTATACGAGCTTGCCTTGTAAACGGAAGGTCCTGGGTTCTCACCCTGGCGGTGGGTGCGTACTGCTGAAGCGGATTTCCAAACTAGGACGGAGGAAACAGCTTTCCAGTACTCCCTGCAGGTTTTCCAGTGGTTCTCTAACTGATGTCAATCCGTGATCAACTCGTAAAAGCAATAATAAAACACTTTCGATCCATGTACCTACGAGATTTTTTGGACTTTGCTTCAAACTGTATCTACAAGTTCACCTGCAGTTACGGTGGCAATTAAATAGGTGGAACCAAAAGAATGTTCCAATGT